ATGGAGAGCCAAAAGGACAAACAAGTGGGTCCTAGAGCAGATCAAGCCTGAACTGTCCTTGGAAGCAAAGATGACTATTAATTGATTGATTGATTGATTGATTGATTTGGAGTATAAACTGAGGCTGTTGTACTTTGGCCACACTATGAGAAGACATAAATTGTTGGAATAAACAATAATGCTAGGAAAGGTGGACCGAATTAGAAAGAGAGGAAGGCCGCACACTAGATGGATGGACTCTATTCAGGAGATCAGAGTTATGAATTTGCAAGACCAGAGCAATGGAGGACAGGGAATCTTGGAGATGTCTCCTCCACAGGGTCACCCTAAGTCAAGATCGACTCGAGGGCGGTTAACAACAACAACAACAACAAAGCCAAGTCACATTTCAAAAAGGTGAAGTACTTGGCTGATGAACTTTGATAATGTTCCAAGTAACCACTGCAAGTTCCTTTCAGAAGTTACTGTTTTAAGCAACACCTTGAGAAGGATTTTGGATGGTTTTATGCAATGCTCTTTTGCATCCTACAATGTGGTGTTTGTCTTCCTCAAATAAAGAAAAGTTAAGTGAAAAGAACAAGCACCACAACAGGTTGTAAAGTTACTTTCCCAACATTGTAGCAAGTCACAGATACACGTTATGCCTCAAACAGTGGAACAAGTAATGAGGAATTCCTCTGGAATTTCAGGATTAATTGCTTAATTCTTTTTTCAAGCACTGATTTACGATGGATACAACATTACTTTCCCCCCACAGTAAATGTTCTAAGGCAGGGGTGGGCAACACTGGAAGACCCACTAACCCCCCAGGAGACTTTGGGGGGCTGCACCTGTCTAATAACAGCAACAATAATAGTAAATTTTTGCCCCTGAACAAAATGCCTCTGGAGGGTATTTTGGGACATTCGAAGGCCAAGACGGCCAGTGTGGTGTAATGGTTTCGGCATTGGACTAGGACACAGGGAGAGTAGGGTTCGAATCCCGGCTCAGCCATGGAAACCCACTGGGTGGCCTTGGGCACGTCACACTCTCTCAGCCTCAGAGGAAGGCAAGGGCAAACCTCTTCTGAACAAACTTGCCAAAGAAACTCTATGATAGGTTTGCCTTATGGTTGCCATAAGTCGGAAACTTGAAGGCACATCACCACCAAGGCAAAAAAGATTTTTGCAAAACGTTTTAAAATTTTTAATTTTGAGTCCTGATGGGTCTAGGGGGGGTTCAGTTTTGTGGAAATGCCCTCTATACTCCCAAGAGATCATCTTTTCCAGGAACAGGTTTTTGTGTTTTTTTGGAAAAAAAAACTTTTTTGATCCCTTGGGACCCACAAAAATGGCCCTGGGAGCCGTATGTAACCTGTGGGCTGCACTTTGTCCCCCCCGCCCCGGTTCTAAGAGCCATCATCCACCTTCTGGGCTCCCCTTCTTACCTTCATGTGATTCCCCGTCGTGATTCATGCGTTGCTAAAGGTCTGAAAGAACCGTCCCGCTGCCTTATGATCCACATGGCAAGCATCAAAACCAGCTCTTCCAACTTCAAGTTCATCCACACTTCATCTAGAGAGAGGTTTGAATATACATGTCTGTGAGTCTGTAACTGCAGATACAATTCTTTTCATAGCGCTGCTTGTAGTTACTTGGGATTCTTTCTTGATGAATGTTTGAGTCCTGATCCTGCTGAGCTTCTGAAATCAGATGAGACTCAATATATTCAGAGTGATATTTTTGGTCCTGCTTAGGATCACCTCAAAAATTAAAACATCCGGGTGGTCAAAGCGGATCAAACCTATTATTAAGTTTTTCCTTTTACCGTATCTTATAGAGGTTTCGATGTTCCTCTCTAGAAAAGAGTTAAGACCTTGGCAACAAAAACTGTGAGTAAAATGTAATTCTATAATAGGAAATTTGATCTCCTTGACCTCTTGTCTTTTAATTCTTGAATTGTTGATCCTAAGCAGATTCAAAATAAAGCGATGGGTGGATGGATTTTAGATCCTGAAATCTATGTTGAAACCTTGGAAACACTGACTGCATCGTGTTGTGTGCCTTCAAGTCATTTCTGATTTATGGTGACCCTAAGGCAACCCTATCCTGGGGTTTTCTTGACAAGATTTGTTCAGAGGAAGTTGGCCATTGCCTTCCCCTGAGGCTGAGACAGTGTGACTTGCCCAAAGTCTCCCAGTGGGTTTCATGGCCAAGCTGAGATTTGAACCCTGGTCTTCCAGAGTTGTAGTCCAGCACTCAAACCATTACGCCACACTGGCTCTCGTATGGCTGCACTGCAAAATTAATGAGGTTTGAGACCGCTTTAACTGTCACTGGTACATCCTATGTAATCCT